GTAAAAAAGAGATATTTATGGGCCGCTCACACAAAACTTTTCCAAGTGCTTTGGGAAAGCTCGCATTTCACAGGATTGTTGAGATTTGTCTTAAGGTATATTAAGGGTTTCCCGAATGTGCGAGAGAGAAAATGTGTTGCCTTTGAACCAACTGCCTAGAAAGTTTAGTCTGCTGAAATCCCATGCACCCTCCCCAGTGGTGTTGCGCAATGTCTCTGGACGGTGTTTTATGTCCATTTGTGGTACAAGTTTGTTTATGGAAAACACTTGTGAATCGTGTAAAACCATCATCCAGGTAGTAAACGTCCAGATCGATATATTTTTAAGCCTCCACTGGACCGTCACTTGCTCTGTTTTGTCGGTGATGGCAATGGTTAGTGTCGTTTTCACTGGCCTTTTTGTTTGTGCCAGACCAAAAAGAAGCTGCTGTGCCTCTTTAAGACAGCTCAGCTCATTGAAGGGACTTTGGGAATTTCATTCAAATCGATATCTTGAATTGCTGCATCATTTTCCCTTCGTGGCAGGAAGAAGAATTGGAAGCGCAGATTTCCTTCCTTCAAGGACAGTTGAATGACCTGGACGCCATGTGCAAATACTGCGCCTCGGTGATGAACACTCATCTCGGTGAGTGGACTGCTTCGGCCCTTGCTGCCTGGCAGGCCCTGTGTTGCGTGAATTATCCCATGTAATCGTCACCACGGTCCTATGGCAGAAGTAGCACTGTCTTCAGTGTGCAGATGAGGGAAACAGAAGCCACTGGACATGAAGACCAGTTCCCTAAAACTATCTTACTAGTGAAACTCGCTGCCGTTGAGTTGATTCTGACTCAGTGACCCTGAACAGCCCCTTTGGGGTTCTAAGACATGAATTTTATTTATTAAAAGATCATTTTATTGGGGGCTCTTCCAACTCTTAGGACAACCCATCCATCAACTGTATCAGGCAGGTTTGCACCTGTGCTGCCATCCCTCTTTACCAGACATTTACTTTCCCTTTGAGCCCCTGGTAGCGACTCCTGTTCCCCACCCCACCCCGCTCGTGACCCCTTGATAAATTATTATTGTTTTTATATCTCACACCAGCCACTGTCTCCCTTCCCCCATGGTTTCTGTTGTTCTTCCCCCTGGAGGGGGTGGGTGGGTGTGGTTATATGTCGATCATTGCAATCGGTTCCCCCTTCCTCCCCTCCTCTTCCCACCTTCCCTCTGCCCTTCCGGCATTGCTATTCCATTCCTGGATTCCATAGGCCAGTCGTGAGCCCGTGGCTCTTATCTGTACCTGTGTTCATGCTCCAGTCTAATCCGAAGTGAGAGGCAGCACTGGGGTCATGAGAGTGGGGAGTGAGGAAGCCTTAAGGAACCAGAGGAATGTTGTGTGTTTCACTGGTGCTTTACTGCACCCAGGTTGACTCATCCCTTCCCTGTGACCCCTCCGTAAGGGGATATCCCATTGTCTAACACGTTAATTCTTTACAGGAGTAGAAAGGCTCGTCGTTATCTTGCAGAACAGCTAGTGGGTTTGAACCACTGCCCTTGTGGTTATCAGCTCAGTGTGTAGCCCCGTATGCCACCAGGCTCCCTTCAAACTCAAGCAACGTGACCATAGATTGCACCTCTTAACTACAACACTGACCTTTGTACGTGAATGCTAACCTCAGCCTGAAATGAAATATTGGACTTTCAGATAAACAGCTCTACCTCAGTGCCAGTCTGCCGATGATCACGAATGTGATCGTGATTTCCACTATGCTGTTCCTATTTTTTAAACATATGGTTTTTAGCCACCTTCTCAAGGTGCAGATCAGGACCAAATAACCTCTTCGTACTTCTGACTGCATTCCTGTTCTCAGAAATGCCCTGCTCTGAGTTGGGTTCACAGACGAATCATACACACGTCACATTAGAAAGTCTTCCAGTATACCTCCGCATTCATGAAAAATTGTATTTCATATTAGAAGTGGTCTCTGCTGCAGCATGTCTATATTGCTTCGGTAACCCCATCATGCTGCCTGCAAAAGCTCTTGTAATGGTTATTACAGTAATGTACTAGTCTTCGTATACAGTAATGCATGCTTCAGTATGCAGTAATGTACTAGTCTTCAGTGTACAGTAATGTATGCTTTAGCATGCAGTAATGTACTTGTCTTCAGTATACAGTAATGTATGCTTCAGTATGCAGTAATGTACTAGTCCTCAGTGTACAGTAATGTATGCTTCAGTATGCAGTAATGTACTAGTCTTCAGTCTACAATAATGCGTACTTCAGTAGGCAGTAATGTACCAGTCTTCAGTATACAGTAATGTATCAGTCTTCAGTAGGCAGTAATGTACCAGTCTTTAGTAAGCAGTAATGTACCAATCTTCAGTAG